TTGTAACCCTTTCCAGCTTTATGCAAGTCAACAATTCTTAATCGTAGGTCTTCTGAGAGCTCTTTTGTGCGAGGCATCATTCACATCAGGCAATGCTTCTTGTGAAAAGCAAACCCAGAACTGGTGTGTGTTTTTTTATAGGGCAGGGCAGCTGTAACCAACACCTCCAATCTCATCTCATTGATTGGACTCCAGTTGGCTGACATCTCACTCCAATTAGCTCTTGGAGATGTCATTAGTCTAGGGGTTCACATACTTTTTCCACCTGCACTGTGAATGTTTACATGGTGTGTTAAATAAAAACATGGCAACATTTCATTCTGTGTGTGTTATTAGTTTAACCCCTTAAGGACGGAGTCAAATGTACACGTTGTGAACAAAACAAAATGTAAACAAAACCTGGCATTTGCGCTATGTCTGTCCAACCGTAATTCACCTATTTCATAGTAAATGCACCCACCCTTATTATATATCATTTTATTCAGGGGAAACAGGGCTTTCATTTAATATCAAATATGTAGCTATGAAACATAGTTTTATATGAAAAATATGGGAGAAAATAAGATTTTTTTTAAATTTGTTTAGTTCTACATGACATTTTAACTGTCAATGTCATAATACTGTTTGCTTTTACTGCAATAAAATACACATATTTGTATTCAGCAAAGTCTCACATGTAAGACAGTACCCCCTATGTACAGGTTTTATGGTGTTTTGGGAAGTTACAGGGTCAAATATAGCACGTTACATTTGAAATTGAAATTCGCCAGATAGGTTATGTTGCCTTTGAGACTGTATAGTGGCCCAGGAATTAAATTTACACCCATAATGGCATACCATTTGCAATAGTAGACAACCCAAGGTATTGCAAATGGGGTATGTCCAGTCTTTTTTAGTAGCCATTTGGTCACAAACACTGGCGGCGTTTAGAGCCGCCTAAAATAGGGCCTAATAGTATGCCCTCCGGTCTTAAGGGGTTAAGCAGACTGTGATTGTCTATTGTTGGGACTTAGATGATGATCAGATCACATTTTATGACCAATTTGTGCAGAAATCCATATCATTCCAAAGGGTTCACATACTTTTTCTTGCAACTGTAGATGGATAAAAAGTAAATCACAAAATCATTCACCACTCTGAGATTTGGATAGATAAGTATGCATTCTGTGGTTTGCATCATTTTAAATTGTGTGGACCAATTTAGTATTCAGTATTTGGAATTTTCAGTCTTTAAATTTAGAATCAAATGAAAATTGAATAATGATATTTAGAATTGGAAGAATGGTTATTAAGCCTGCAGAGGTACAAATTAGATTTGAAAGTTGATCTCTCACAGAACATCCATTTTCCCCTTTACAGTCTAGATGCTCACAGATAGAATGAATATTTTTTTTTCAGAGGACTTTTTCCAATAAGCATCATAATATTGGTAATTTTGTTTTGTAGAGCTTCCAGAGAAGAAAAAAATCAGTAGAAAATATTCCTAATTCAGAGTCTCAGCTTGAGATATAACTACATTAAAGTACGTTTGTTATTTTGGTTCTTGACCAACCTACATTTTTGTTATTTTGATTCTACTATGTAGTTATGTAACCAGTGAGCATCCTTGAAAGTATGTCAACTCTAATTTAGTTCATTTTATTCTTTATACTCCCTCAACATGTCTACATATTTTGTTTACTATAACAGTTATACGGTTAAATACATCAGCAGTTAACTCACTCAGTAAATGTAATTCATAAATGTTGTGTGTTGTTCTTTCTATTACATTTTTTATGTATGTAACTTTCTACAGAAAATTAATTTTGTCAATACTAGCCCAGTTTTAAAATATACATATTACATATTTCACTTTTTTTTTTTTAATTCTTTTTTTTTCTCATGCCACACATTACTCGTACAAGAAAGTATAAGCCACAGGTCACAGAGGAGAGCCAAAAAAAGATAAACATAGTGTTGTTGACAATATTTAGCTTATTTTACAATGGTAAAAACTGAGAGATGAGTAAGTTTGTGACATGCGTGGAAGAGTGGGCTGAGGGTTTTAAATATAAAGGAAGGGAACGTCTAAGAAGAGACCATATAGTGTTACCCCTTATAGTGGGCTACTGACAATTATGAGGTCTTTGAGTGTATCCATCACTTACTGGGGCACCCCCTCTCATGTGTAGTAGCATAAAGAGAGGTGGACCTCTCTAACGGGAGGGGGTGGGGGGTAGGTCGCCTATGAGTTGCATATTGCGATGATCAAAGCGTTAGGGATCTGTCTGGTCAGGTCTCCGAGCTGTCTGTTTGCTGTAATGTGGTGGTGTAAGAGTTGCCCTTGGTATGTCACTATGTTACACAACAGAGTTTGGTACATCCGTGATTTACCCGGTCGTAAAAGTGGAAAGAAAAAAAAAAACATTTGAAAAATAAGGAAGCAGAGAACCGAACAATCAAAGGAAAACATTAGTAGATAATAGGTTCAATTCGGTGGTGTTACTATGTAAGTCCCGGTATAATGGGAGGCTGTCATGGCTAGGGTGTCTTCCTGCAGATCGGTCACGGTCTTGGAAGTCAAGTTAAGTCTCTGGATGCCGATGGGACTTGAGCCGAGCGGGGTGTGAATTCCGGGATTTTAGCCTGGTCTATGCGAGCTAGACCTGAACTAGTAGTTGCGCTCGAGTTGAGGAGTCCCAGCTTGCTCAGTTGGTCTTCGAGTTCTTGAGGAGTGCCCACACGGTATGTTTCCCCCTGTGCCTGGAACCGGAGGGTCCTTGGGAGCCCCCAATGATAGGGGATGTCGTTTGCTCGCATGAGCTGCAGATGTGGGCGCAGAGAGCTGCACCAGGCCAGTGTGTTCCTGGTGAGGTCTGGGAATATCTGCAGCATGGCTCCCTCAAATGATATCGGAGTCTTCCCTCTTACTGCTGCGAGGAGTAGGGCCTTGTCCTGCATTGACTGGAATCCGACAATGTGATCCGGCGTTGCGGATGGCGGTGCGCCGTAGGTTTTTGTATGCGGAACACACCGTCGAGATTTATTGCTTTTGCCTGTTTGTGTGGTATATATGCTGCTAGAAATCGCCGCAGGAAATGAGGTAAGTCCGAGATCCCCAGTGCCTCAGGTACACCTCTAATCTTGAGGTTATACCGTCTCCGCATTTCCTCTAGGGCGTCAAGCCTGCTTGTGGTGATGAAGTGCAGCTGCTCTAGTTCTTCGACCCTCTCTCCACTGTGGATAGCCTAGAGTCATGGGTGCTGTGTGCCACCTCCAGCTGGGCAATTTTCGTTGTTGCGCCTTCCATGCTTTTTTGAAAGTGGGCCATATCTCCTGCTATATTGGTGCGGAGCTCCGCGATCATTGCTTTTAGCTGAGCGGTGGTGACCGGCTCCCTGTCTTCCAGCTTACGTGGCCTGGGTCCCGTGTGTAATCTGAGGGCAGCACCCTCCTCCGGCTCAGCGAAAAAAATCATCTGAAGAGTATGAAGATCCCTCCTCGAGGGACGCCATCTTGTCCCATGCGGCCTTCTGTGTACTGCGGAGCATCTCACCGATAACCCGGCTTGGTATGTCTTTGTCCGCTCTGGGTTTCTTATTTTTCCAACCCATATCAATTACGGTGCATTGGGCAAGGTTTGTAGCCTTTTTGTTTGACAGATAGCCCTCCTAAAACAGCCTTTTAGGGCAACTTATTGCAGAGCTCGGGAAAAGTGTGGCCGCTCTGGTTCACAGCTAGGCTCCGCCCCCCACATATTTCACTTTTATTAACTTTTTTTTAAATGTAATGAACCATTAAGGCTGGATGTATTAGTGCCCAAAGCATTGTTTTACATTAAAAACAGGTAGGGATAAGCACCAGAAGAGCAACTGACAAAATATAGCCACAAACTCTGGATATAAGTGTTACCCTCAACCCTAAAAATAATTAACATAAAATACACAAAAACAGGTTGCGCCAATGGATGGATATAAAGACAAAATGAGTAAAGAAACATATATGGAATAAATAAAAAATAAACATAAAAAGTCCAGTATTCACAGTCCAATGATCTCCATCCAAGCTACTTTCATTCTTGATAGGTATTAGTTCTTAAATAAGGTGCTTGTCAACATATGTAAAGAGATACAAAATGAAAGATAACAGTGCTTAACAGGAAGATAAAGCTCTGAATAATGGTAATTGGAAATGCACTCACATTTCAATTACTTGCAGCGGTACAATCCCCACTGATGAATATAAACTCTGAAGGCCAGTGTCTCAGCGTACAAATGGTTATATAAAAAGCAAAGAGATATACAATTGTGCTCACTGTAAATACAATTTATAAATAAGTAAATGAATGTATTTTACTCACATTTGATAAAGCGGTATATCGCTCAAACATCTACACATTGGTGGTATAATCCCCACCAGGGATATCATTTGGAGTAGGTGTCCAAAATTGGAGTTGGATGTGCCAGGAACAAATAAAATAGTTAAAAACTATTAAAAAGCATAAAAACTGTAATACATTGTTTAACACATATAATAGGTGAAAACCAAATATACTATGCTAAAAAAAATAAAAAAATACTACACAATGTGTTTCACCAATAAAAAAGCGTTTTCAAGTCTAAAAACTTGTTGTTTTAAAACAATTGTTTTATATTGTTTACCTTTTACATTACCTTTCATATTTATAAAACATTTTTTCATTGTTGTATTTATGTACATGCCTGACTCACCACTGCTGCATTCCATCACACAGGAACCTTCACACTAAATTGATCCTTGGTAAAAAAAAAAAAAAAAACACATATTAGTCCTTAGCTACTTGCCCGGTGGAGACATTTTCTTTGTAGATGTCACTGTGTAAGTAACTGCTTTTGACAATAAACCTTGGTAAGTATATATATATAAAAGAAAGGTAACCTTGGCGCTCACCCTATAAAATAAACAAAAATTGTTTTTGTGCCTGGGTGCAAACCTCAGCGTTGATATATAATGCAAAAATTGGAAAAAAGGTGCACTCACAGGTCTTGATTCAAATCTTCATTGGTTTATTCATGCAAATTACATGTGCAAAAAAAGAAATCCCTGATCGACTTTTCTATCCCTAAAGGGTCTTTTTCAATTTAATCTTGAAAAAGACCCTTTAGGGATCGAAACGTCGATCAGGGAGTTCTTTTTTTGCACATGTAATTTGCACGAATAAACCAATGAAGATTTGAATCAAGACCTGTGAGTGCACCTTTTTTCCAATTTTTGCTTTATATGTATTAAGACCGTTTGGCCTGTATTTGTGGGAGGGGCTTAAATTAATTCACTCCCCTATATAAGGGACACCCCTTACCTGACTCATATCGCTTGAGGTCAGCATCAGAATGATTTCCACTTCCGGGTCATCCAGACGCCATTTTACCTGATTACTCCATGAGGTTTTCTAAGCAGAGCTGTGTCAGGAATCCAGCCACAGGCTTTTCCGGCCTACCACCTTCTTTCTTCAATCCATCGCTGTGGATGGTGTCCAAGTGACTCATAAACCGTAAGTCGACCTACCCGTTACGCCAGGCATCAGTCCCACGGCACCATGCACGCGTCAGGTCCTCACTTTACGGCTGCATTTTGTCTATGTCTGTTCTAAAACCATTGCATGTTCATGCATATCATTCGTTTAAACCCCCTACCGGTCTCTGGGTGTACTACAGGCTTCTTAGACATTATTGCATTTCATGTACAAACCAACGAACCACTGCATTTTCACCTATGCACTGACCCCTACCGGTCTTTGGGTGTACTACAGGCTTCTTAGACATTATTGCATTTCATGTACAAACCAACGAACCACTGCATTTTCGCCTACACACTGACCCCTACCGGTCATTCGGTGTACTACCGGCTTCTCAGACATTATTGCATTTCATGTAAAAACCAACCAACAAACCACCGCATTTTTCACCTACACACTGACCCCTATCGGTCATTCGGTGTACTACAGGCATCTTAGACGTTTTTTGCATTTTCATGTACAAACCAATAAACCACCTCATTTTCACCTACACACTGACCCCTACCGGTTTTTGGTGTACTACAGGCTTTTTAGACATTATCGCATTTCATGTACAAATAAACAAATCACTGCATTTGCGCCTACACACTGACCCCTACTGGTCATTTGGTGTACTACAGGCTTCTCAGACATTATTGCATTTCATGTACAAATCAACGAACCACTGCATTTGCGCCTACACACTGACCCCTACCGGTCATTCGGTGTACTACGTGCTTCTCAGACATTATTGCATTTCATGTATAAACCAACAAACCACTGCATTTTTCACCTACACACTGACCCCTATCAGTCATTCGGTGTACTACAGGCTTCTTAGACGTTTTTGTTTTTCATGTACAAAACAATAAACCACTGCATTTTCACCTACACACTGACCCCTACCAGTCATTCAGTGTACTACAGGCTTCTCAGACATTATTGCATTTCATGTACAAACCAACGAACCACTGCATTTGCGCCTACACACTGACCCCTACCGGTCATTCAGTGTACTACAGGCTTCTCAGACATTATTGCATTTCATGTACAAACCAACTAACCACGGCATTTTCGCCTACATGCTGACCCCTACCGGTCAATCAGTATACTACAGGCTTCTCAGATTTTATTCCACTTCATAAGCAAACAAACTAACTACAGCATTTTCGCTTTTATACTGACTCCTATCTGTCAAATGGTAGCATTAACCCCTTAAGGACACATGACATGTGACATGTAATGATCCCCTTTTATTCCAGAAGTTTGGTCCTTAAGGGGTTAAAGGGTATTTTAACATACAATCAGTATTTCTGACCCCTACTGGTCAACAGCAAAACTGTCTTCACATGTCATGTACAATTTACCAGCCAATATAAATTACACATAAGATTGTTTTAAACATAACTATAGACGATAAATTAAACTCCAGCACGGGTTCAACTTAATGTTTAATTCACAATAATTTACATTTCACGTCAAGACCAACAGTGGTTCTATCAACACTGCCACCTACAGGTCTGTCAAGTACATTGACAATTTTCATGGGGTTTTACAAACACCAAAACACTGACACCTATAGGTCAACAGACAAACAACATTTCACATACCAATCAGTATCCAACTACACTGCCACCTATAGGGCACTCGGCAGATCTCCAGTGCACTTGCATTTTGCAACACCATGTTCACTGACCCCTACCATTCAATAAGACATACAACAATTCACATAGCAAGCACTATATCAACATCTGGTATAGAATACATATATTATTACACAGTAGCAGACGCATCTGTATATATGTAACTGGTAATATAGTTCACATACATTTTTCACAGCACGCTGCTCCCGCAACAGACTTCCCCTAGCAAGGGGACATACAACATACAAGGTGGGGACAGACCACATTTTCACTTGTACATACGGCACTTAATGGGTTAAGATTGATACATATTTAACCAGTATGGCTACGATGTTTAATATTTACACATCACGTCACTTTACTTTTCACATATACTGTACGTATTAAGATAAGCTTGGTCTATGCCATATTTCCTTATGCCATACGGTTTTATCCATTCAGGTTACAGTTACTACTAAAAAACCTATACGGATTGTCAGGTTCAATACCATACTACCAGGTACATACACCTGCTCACGTAGTTATCCATCTCTTACCTTCCCTGGAATAGTAATAGTGTACTGGCAATTAGGGTTCTAGGGCCCAATAGGTATTACCCCCTTTTTTCTCTGCATTATGCTTCGGTTAGTGGTCCCGCGAGGCCAACACCCCGCCTCACACTCGGAGGCATACACCCCTTGGGCCACTCGTGAGCTAGCCGCCTCGCATTGTATCATAGAGAGGACCTCACCTGTCACTCCCCTTCCTATTTTCTGGTTACTGTCACCGAGAGGCCAACATCCTGCCACAACGTTCGGTGGCCACACAAAATCCCCTCGCGCCAAGCATAGATAGAGCCTCTCAAGCCACTTGGCAACTAGCAGGGCCTCACCAGTCACCAAAAAAAAAAAAAAAACACCAAGCCTAATCGTTTCGCCTTACGGCTTAGCTAGCAAGCCAGTACAAGAACCCTGGGTACAAATAATAATTGCAATCTTTATTGTTATTTAAGTATTTCTCAAAAAGATGGTGAAGAATCACCTCTTCCTAGCACCCCGGCTAGAATTGATACACCTTCAAGCAGAGGAGATGTTGCTAGTCCAGCAGCAATCAGATCCTGGACGATCCCACACATTACCACCGACCTAAGGAGGTGACAAATCCCCTACCCTGCTACAGCAAGGAAAGCAGTTATTCAAACTCCTCCATACATCAACGGACAACACGGAGGCAGGGGAAGGCCCAGCTACATCAACTCAGGTGACACCCAGGCTATGCTAGCTTCACTCATAAACTCATGAGCCAAAAAATTTATGACAGACTGGCAATCTCGAGTTGGTCACCACAGCCCTCACAAGGCTGGGCCTCACGCTACTGTAAAACCAGCACCAACCAAAACTCGGTTACCTGGTACAATCAATTCTTATGACACACAAGTTGTTAAACCCGCACGTATGATCCCAGCACATTGGGGAAGCAAGGCATTTATATGTATGATGATGTATCTGTGATGGTCAGATCCAGGGATTCCAGGTAAATCGGGAACTGACCATCCCTTGGTTGGGTTGGCATTTGGAATATGTGGAGATGTTTATTTGTGCAGGTACCCATACAGAAGGGATTTTGTCCCAAACAAATGGACGAACACTCTCAGGCTCCAGGTACCAGCACCTCTGAACTACCAGAGACCACTGATATGAGTAGTTGCATTGCATACAGACTGTTGTGTCCCAATACAACTTACAAATAACGTATTCACCATCTGTACACACCAATGCATTTTCAACACTACTGACTCATCACCCTTCCAGACTTGTAGTAGATTTACTAAAGCTCTGGAGCTTCAAAGGGCTCCCATACAGGTATCATAAACACACCTTCAAGGAATATAGCATGCCCTCACTTAGTCAGCACAACAAAACCATTGGCTGTAAACACACTCATAGCCAAGATTTGCAGAGGGGTCTTTCAATCTCCACCATTTACAGCATGGCACAAAACACACACATTGGTATTGTCACAAGGAATCTTCCCTTAAACAAAGACTAACCATAGACTTATTGGCACCACACACCTCCGCTACCCCAAGTCTCAACTCCCTCATACCCTCCGAGGATTTTTCTTACTATACAACACCATTGATCTACCTTTACAGCTATCACTCAAGCATGGGTTGAAGCTTGGTTAAGTAAGACCAATATCATCAACGCAGTAAACGGCTACCATCTACCCTACACACTGGCACTTACATGGCATAAATTGGGCAATCCTTTCCCCGCTCAACTTTCGAGCTACAGATTAGCCTACTATCGATATTCGCAGATACTCTGTGCTGGTTATGATAACATATCCAGAGGCCTTACAGTCATACACTATCTAGAAGACTTCTTGTTAATTAAAGAAAGCATATTTTTCACTAGAAGCCTCACGGCAGCTTAGTCTGGTTGACCACTTGGGCGTCGCAGTACCCCATAAGAAACAGAAGGCCCAGACACTATCTTCACATTACTGGGCATATGACTTGAGTCGGCATCCATACACGCAAGTTACCACAAGACAAATAGGGAACATTCTCAACTACATCAATCACTACCTCCTGCTTAGTACTTACAACTGCAAGGAACTACGATCCCTACCAGGTTCCTTAATTTTGCCATGCCAATCATACCACAAGACCACGCTTTCACATCCAGAGTACTTTCCCCTTTTTTCCACACTTCCAACATGACGATCAGAGGATGTCCCTTGACACCTCAGCAACAGCAGACCTGCACATGGGGCACGCTGTTCCTTCCAGGTAAAAGCATGTTCCTTCCAGGATTGTCTGACACTTCTCCAACCAGATGGTCAGACGCAGCGTCTACCACGGGTTTGGCAGTGATCTACCGGGAACAATTGCTTTGGAGCTGTTGGCGATGGCATCCAGGTTTGGAAATTTTTCCACCACCTCAGCCCCTTTGGGAGATCTACCCCATTGTAGCAGCTGCTGAGGCATGGGGTAAATCATGGTCAGGGTCATCAATCCGTTGTTACTCAGGCAACTAAGCATATGTCATATCATCAACAAA